CCCCAACTGGTGTTTTAACTGGTGCCTGCCTAATCACAGCAGCTTCTCATAAGTTTTACTTGTCTTCGGCCATGTAATGTATACGCATTGACAAGTAACAATACAAGTTGCAAGCTCATGTGGCTAAGTGGGTAAGTAACTTGCTTTCTAATTTGTCTTTCTATTCAAAGGTACCAAATTCGAATCCCACCGACGGCATCATCAATATTATGCACTTATTTCTCGTACGTCAAACTTCTCTCCTAATATCGTAGACTCTCGTCGCTAGAAAAAAGTCTAAACTGCTACAGGAGTTAAAATTAGAATGAAATTATTTATTTTTAAAAATATAAATAAAATTAAAGCATGGAAAACGCGTTTAAACGCGTCACAATAAAGCGCGTCTTGACGCACTGAAATGGTGCAGATATTGAGTACTTAGACGCGTCTAGTTAAAGCGCGTTACATCGCGTCTCCATGCGACGCGTTTAAACGCGTCAGTATAAAACGCGTTTTGACGCACTGAAACGGTGCAGATTGGGCGTACTTAGACGCGTCTTAAGGCGTCATATCCTATAAAAGTGCGTTAGAACGCGTCTACATCATGCGCGTTTAAACGCGTCTAGCCGCACCAAAAGGGTGCATATTTGAGCGACTTAAACGCACGATAAAACGCGTTTTCAGACGCGTCTACGACTCGAAAACATTTACATGGGAAGTAGATGGGGAATTACTGGACAAGCTAAACAATATGATAGAGTTAATGCAGGCAGGTGACGTTCGATTAACAAAATCGTAACTTAAAGACAAAATTATCTGTAATAAAAACATTATATTTACACTTTAATCCTCTTTTGGATTTAACTTTATCTTTAAACTGTTAGAGATTTTTTTGTTGTTAAATACAGTTATGTTAACCAATAAAAGCGACTTGTATGGAAAAGATAATTAAGCACGATAATGATTCATTTGACTTTCTAGAACAGATCTTAGGCATCAAATTAAGCTCTGGCATATGAGAATAATTCTTCTATAAAACTAATCAATGCATTTATTTATCATTTATAGAAAGAACGTTTTGCTCTTTCGTATTAATAATCAACGAAAAAAAAGACAAATATTAGAGACTATAGAACTGCATTATTTGATATTCTGTTGCTCTATTTGTTAGTAAAATAATATTGAAACTTCTTAATGGTTTAAGAACGATATGAAGTTTACACTTTAAGTAGTAAAGTTATTTATATTCATCGTTAAATAAATGCTTAAATTGTAAAAGTGAACAACTTTTTGAAAACTCATACAGATATACAATAGTACAACACAATAATTAGTTTATGGTTCTGAAATATATTTGGTGTTTCGAAATTGCTTATTTGTTGTCAGAAAATATGATATACGAGCGAACCACAATGATACTGTTACACTACTGTCAGCTACAAAGTACAAGACTAATTCAAAAACTCGATTTGATGATCTACGCCTTGTTCTACATCCAAATAATACTTCATTTTTTTTCTAAATATCGATCTATCAAAGATACTATTTATCAATAAATAATCAAAAAAACAATTTTTTATTGATTAAATCATCCAAAGAGTATGAAACAATAATGAGAAGTATCCTCAATGATCCATTTATTCAATTCATTAGTTTAAATTCACCAACGGATCTTGTCTTTCAATTTTTTATAAAAGTTCTTTCATTCATTTATAATATATAATATGTTTAGAATAAAATCAAATTGATCAAGAATTTTTTATCAATTAAAACTGAATTGAAATTCCAAGTTGAATCAAGATCAAACATGTGAAGAAAAACTCATTAGACTTTATGAATTATCTTACTACTAAGAAAAAAAAATAAACAAACATGAAAATCTGATCTAATTCGTCGATTTATCGAACAGATTTGGTTTTTCAAAGAGACTCTTAAAAGGAACATATTTATAATATTAAAACTACTTTCTTCACATTTTTGACATAACAAAAGATTATTTGAGAAAATATTCGTTCAGAAGAAGTCGATGTTTCTCCACAAGAACTTCGAGTTTTTTCGTGAAGAAATCCATGTTTCTGCACAAGAACTTCATGTCTTTTCCTACGGAAATCGATGTTGTTCCACACAAACTTCATGTTTTTTCCTGAACAGATCCATGTCTCTCCACAAGAACTACATGCTTCTTCCTCAAGTAGTCCATGTTACTCCACAGGAACTTCATGTCTTTTCCAGAGGAAATCGGTGTTCCCTGATGACCTTCGTGTTTTACATAAAGGTAAAGTGAGAATGTATCGTAAAATGATTAGTAAACCTACATTGGAAAACAAAAATAACTATGAACAAGCTGTTGTCAAATTTCGTAAAGCATGTGTTCAGGCTAAAGTAGATTTCTATGAAGAAATAAATCATAAAGTGTCAGTTTCGTTCAAAAATGAGTGGTAGCTTGTTAAACATACAATGGGTCGTGATCGTAGGACAGCAGTTCCAGCATTAAAAGATAAAAATGGAGATGTCAGAGTAGATGTTCAGAGCAAAGTTGAAATTCTAAACGCACATTTTGCTAATATTTGTACATGGAGTGGTTTCCTCTATTAAACATAAAACGAATGAACTCTCTACGGCAAACCGCTGTTAAAAATCTTGGGACGCACTTCAGGTGTAACTCTTATATAGTAAAAACGCTGTATTAAATGCTGTATAAAATACTCAATTTTAGGCCTTTTAGGAAAATGCCTGTAGCTGTTTGATGCAAGGTTTTATCTTGATCAGCTCTGCAAATCAGTGTGTTTAAAAAAATTATAATTTCATAAGTATCCAGGAAAAAGCTATTATTTGAAGGTCCGGTTTTCCGAGGCTCCTAGAAAACTTGCTCAAAATCTTCCAAAACTCAATTCTGTAACCAAAAGCGATACAGATTCTGAAAAGTACACACTTTAGGCTACCTTTCCATGTGCTTATCTCAAAAACTATTTTTTGACAGAAAATCACAATTTCTGAGAGGGGAGCCCTTAATCCAAAAGCTGCCTGTAGCTTGTAAGCTCATAGGGTCGAGATTGGAGTCCTCCAGAATTTTACGAAAAACAGCCCCCTCCAATTTTTTGAATGTTTTTATGAGAAACGTACACAAGGAGGACTGAAAGTAAGATATTCGTGATCAGGGTGAAATTCTGCACCGAATGGTGTATCTTTAAGCTAAAAATAAAATAGTTCTTCAAGTTTGAATTTGAAACGTCTCAACTTAGATAATAATTGTGTACATAATTCGTTTGTCCATAAAAGTACTAACGGATGCATATGCTAGTATATGTTTGCTCTATCATCAATTACTCATGTTAAAAATTTCTGAGTGATGATAGGCGAGGTTTGAGATTTCCAGGTTATATTCAAATGTTACGCAGAGAAGTTTGTTCTCTCAACAGGTTGTGCAGAAGAATTGTGTATTCAAGATAACAGCAAAAAGATGTCATTTTTGCTTTTTACAATTGCACGTTTAGAGTCGATAAGAAAAATCATAACGAAAAACCACTAAGAACAGTTGAAAGTTGTGTTGCTTGTGAAAGAACAATAAAGCCACATCAACGTCCTTAATATTATACGTTGTATCTATTTTATTTATTGTGCTGTTGTTGTTCGATTGTTTTATTCACTGGCTTTTAAAATTCTGTATACATACGCAAAGTCATATAGAAACAACAGTCCATGAAAGAAACGAAAAGAGAGGAGAATAAAAGGGAACACATCTGCACTTTTCAATAACCTTCCAATAATTCTAATAATATGTGTGTGATAAATGAATATTTTTCATATATGTATGGACTTTACAGATCTGAACAGAGAAGAAAAACAGAGCGTTTTTTCCGAAAGACAGCACTGACTCAACGGTTCTAAAAAACATCTGTATGAAAGCTTTTCATTCAATAGCTGTATTTTCTGACAAAAGAAAGAGGAAGAATGTACTCTTGCCTTTTACAAAACATATACTGTGTTGATCTGTTATCGATTAAAAAAAGAAAAAAAAGTAGTTGTTTAATCCTAATCACCGCGATGTACATGTAACAGGGTGAAAATGTGAAACAAACAAGTGTAAACAAAGATAAATAAAGAAAATATGATTTTATCACATGTAGTATTGAGTTTTATCAAAAGTGTCAGAGTTTGGTTAAAAATTTGAGAGATTTCGCGACAAATCTTTTAGTTTTTATTAACATTATTTATCATTTTTTTGAATAACATGACATAATTACAGTTAGTACAATTTAATCAAGGCCGAATGATTTTTATTAAAACTTGCATCAAATATATGGTTCAATGTGATAAATATTACTCAATGATCAGTTAGTCAAAAAATGGTGTCTTGTGATAGATGATTTTTCAAAACTCGTACTATAACTTAATCAGCAGTCATCTTTGAACCTTTTCCACATTTTTCTCGTTTGAAACAAGATTTTTTTCATATTTTATTGATAATATAAATCATTATAAAATCGATATTTCTCTGCTTATCTCAGGCAGAAGTTAGAAATCAATGCATTAGCTTTTGATTAAGTTTCTATTTGTCAATTCATCATACGAAAGAATTTGACAAGTATATTATATTTCCAACAATAGTCACAAATGACAACTATCGTTTGATTCACGTGAGCCGTTCATATCTAGAAAAAAAATGAAATTAATTGAGATAAAATGTTGTACCGATATATCTTTGACCAAAAAAGATTTGATGAACACTACGTTCCATCAACTTTGTTATTATATTAATCGACTTCTTAGACATCTACTTCTCATATAATCAAATTTTCTAATCACTGTCAAAAATTCGACTCACTTGTCTTCGCTTCAAATGTGTTTTTTTCAACAACAACATCACTGTTATCTAATGTTTTATGCAATATTCTCTAGAAAATATGTTAATCCGAGTAGAAAGAAAATAGATGTTTTTGAACTAAAAAGAAATCTTACCTTGAATTTTTTTCTTAAAGTAACAGATTCCACAACATTGCATTTATAATCAGGATCCCTCTCTAAAATATCATATAGAAAAACATAAGTAAATGAGAAAAACGATAAGCTAGTTCAATCAAACTTCTCTTCTTACTCTCATGTGGTATGTACGTAAATGTACATTGAATATTTTCTTCATTTAGTCGGTAGATAACTATCTCAACTTGAATTTTTTCTATTATAGGTACGATTCTATATTGAGGAATTTCAAATTGTACACCAATACCACTTTTGATTGACTTAAATTTTTTTACTTCATGTTTCCATTCATCCTTTTGTTGGAATACAATTTTAAAAGCTAAAATATCAAATAATATTTCAAAACGAAAAAATGATATATAACGGGTGCTTCAGAATAAATCGGTCACTTAGTATTTTGCTTATATCTTAGTTGAATTTTATCCTCTAACCTTTGTTATTTTCTTAAAAGATGTGCCGTAAAATTCTCTACAAAAAATATATTAAGCATTTTTCTATATACCGTAAAGATAAAAGAATATAGAAGAAATACTGCGAAGCTTCGATCTCGATTACTTTGCAATTCAAAAAACAATTTTTTCAATTTTAGTCCTTCATACTTTGTGAAATAAAAAACAAGAAGATGGCCATTTGATAGCCCTTGAAAAGCTCTGTCAAGTGCCTATATTTAAAACGTTTCATAATCATAATCGGTTGTGGAAGAATTTCTTTTCTTTTATCGACTGTCCTCGACATTGACATTTACCAACTGTAGTTTTGATGTAGTTAGAAAAACGTTTATAACTCGATCAAAATCAAATATTTTGAGATAGAGTTTCTTTATCTTAAAGTAAAATAATTGTTCTGTTACATCCGTACAGAGAAAGCTCAATATTTTCCTTTGTTTTCCTGTGTCACGACGACAAAATCTGCCCTTTTTTTGTTAGATTTAGCACAATGATCTTTTGTGCCAGAAAAACACATTTTTAAGCCGAACCTATGATAGACGAAAAGAAAGAGGACCCTTCAGAGCACCAGAACTTATGTTCATGATTCCACCTTTATGCATGGCACCATGCTCAAATATTTTTTCAAAATATTTTTTTTCATTATTTCTTGAATTACAAAGTAATCGAGTTTGAAGCTTCGCAGTATTTCTTCTATATTCTTTCATCTTTACGATATATAGAAAAATGTGTAATATATTTTTTGTAGAGAATTTGATGGCACATCTTTTAAGGAAACAACAACGCTTAGGGGATAAAATTCAACTAAGATATAAGCAAAATACTAAGTGAGCCATTTATTCTGAAGCACCCGTTATTCTTGTTATTATATTTTACCATTTTTTCTGATACGCCCGTTTGTAAATTCAATTGTCATCAATTGGCCAGCATATCCGAATTGAGGAGAAAGAGATTTCAGTTTTAACGGTCCATAACCTAGAAGAAACTAGATAATTGTTTAAAAATGAATTACTATGTTTGATCGTATACTCTCTCTCATAATGTCAGAATAGGAAGGTTCACTAATCGACACATATGAATCATCGGAAAGTTTTTTTTTAAGAACAAAACACAAACGTAGATCATCTAGTTGGTTTCGAGTTTTTTTGACTTTTACAATTGTTGCTAGTTTGTACCTAAATACAACACAAACAGCTAGTGATTAAGGATTTCAATAATAAATACAACTAATGTTTTTGCCGTATGTGAGATGTAACCTAGACGCTGCATAAACGGCTGTTATACTGGAACCTGTACGCATAATGGAACGTAAGTCTGTGCGAACCAGTTGCCGATTTATACTTCACTTCTACTTCAGCGCACAAGCACAAGCACTTTCTTTTAGATTACGTTGAAACTTTGCAATAAACAACAGTATCACACATACGAGAAAGCAAAATTAAATCTCATTGTGTGATATGTTACATACGATTTTGATTTCATATGAATATCAGCTTCTGTTATATTGAACAACAACGAACCAGTATTGTTATTGAGTATGACCAGCTTATTTCTTTCGTCCGAACTTGCTGGACGTAGTTGATAAACACGTTGCTCGTCTTTATTACTGAACACAAGGCTCACATCCATCAATAAATGTAACCAAGAAGGATTAATCTTAAAACATACAATTATCTTTATTTCTACCTTTAAATAATTGTTTTACATACTTCTGTTGTTGGTTTTGTGTTTTCATTACAACCTTGAATGTAATGTGGTGATTTTAATTGCTCCATGTATGTTCTTGGGCGTTGTATAGTAGCCGGTTGGATTAATATTTGAACAGGATTTAGCATACACTTATCCATTAATTGGTCTATTGAGTAAGAACGGTAGTTGTGTCTCATGAATATCGAAAATAGATTTATACCACGTTACCTGTTGTACTGATTTGAGTATTATCTATTTCTAAATGAAAATTTTCTACATTTATATTCAGTTTAAAACACAAGGAAAATATCTTTTGTGTTTTTAAATTATCTTCATTATTCACCTTGGTATATGATTGTATCTGAAATCATCGTGGTCTCTGGATGATGACGGTAATTTGAAATATTGTTCTCTTCTCTAGTACATATTGTAAATGCTAAATGTAACCTATCTAATTGATATAATTGAAATAATCGATTTTCATTCTCTTTTACAGCTAAAATCATTGAATTTTATTAACGGGCGAGGATTGCTCGATACGAGAAATTCTACTTACGTTTAGTCATTTTACTCGATATACATAGTGTTTCCCGATCAATATTATCATTATAACTAATAATACATCCTAGATAATAATCATGAAGATCATTTTTCGAAATTGGCTCATTTAGTTTGAAAACACGGAATTTTTCGTCATCGATATTATAGCCAGGATGACACTCATGTACCGTTGTATGAGTGAAAAATTTGTACAATGATAAAAATGGTTTTTTCGTCTTGTCAGATATACTTGAATTGACAATCACTAATTTTAATCTAGAATTATACACTCATTCTAATGTCGGATTACGTCTTACCTCTTAGTTGTATATGAAACTTACTCTACAATACCATTGGAAACGTTTTCTTTAGTTAACTTGATTTTCGTTGGATTTACACAGTCTATTTCATTCTCGGAAGAATCACCAGCGAACATTTTTTTTGGATGAAAATAGAATTCTTCATTCACTTTCACCATAACACATACATACAATATCACAGGCACAGATCTTTCTTGATTAATCAATTTCTGATACTTTTGTGGAATCTGAAAACAAACAAATATAAACAGATAACAATCTATCTCATGTCTTGATTACCAACTACTGTCTAAAATAATAAGAGAATGCGCACTGCATCTTTTTATAAGTAAAATGCTTTGAAATTCTTTCTCAGAAACAGATTTTCTAACAGATCTTCGGAAAACATTTCATAAATATTCGGTAGTGCATACACGTTGCCATAAGGCACTGCGTGGCCAATAATTCATGTCTCCGTTTATTTTCAAGATTAACACATTCAGAGAAATATCGATCCTGAAGCTGCCAGAAAATTCAACGCCACGCTTCAAGCTCCAAAGTTTGGTTTCCACCTTGAAGAGAACACTTTAGTCTACTCATGAAAAAGAGCTTATATATTGCTACTTTAAGTTTTTGAGTTATGAAACAGTTTATTAAAGATCTATTAGAAAACCTGTTTCTGAAAAAGAATCTCAGAAACATTTTACTTATAAAAAGATGCAGAAGGCCATGACCTTCTATGATGGTTTCGTACGTACATCGCAGTTGTTTTGATGAAAAACTACTCTACCCCTCCCTATAGGGCGGTTTTCAAAACTTTTCGCTCCAGACTGGCCTTCTATTCTGGGAGGGGGGAGGAAGATTAGATTATGGACCATCGAATGGTGAAGACTACAGGTCTCTGTTGTTTTTGTTTCGAAATTATTCAAAAGACGGTCAAGTACATTCTCTTTTTTTTCTACAGGCAGTAGTATATTCATTAAGGGTATTTTCCTCTTTTTAAAAATTTTGGGTTTTGAGCTGAAAGTGTCCTAAGGTAGAGAAAAGTCTGAGCTACAAAATGAGACCACTCCTGGCATTCCACAATCTTCCATGAAAAAGTTATGCATTTTTAAATTTTTCGCTTCAAAGCCTGAGAAAACTCAATTTTATAGTTTTATAAGGTTTTCTTCCTTTCCTGTACATTCAAAGTATTTTCTTATATATGGCCTGATAGAAGAAAGTTTTTTCTTCACAATAAGACATCTCCCCAAAGTTTCTGATGAGTTTTTGTGAAGATCTCAGCATCCCAGAAAGTGCTCTACGAAAACTGCCCTTTGTATAAAATGTCTTTTCTATAGTTTCTTCAATCCAGCCACATTACGCCTCCATCAAGTTGAAATTTACTACGAACACTTCAGACTTTATCTCAGATCGAAAATTTTTTAAGCGTTTTTGATTTCAACTTTCGTGTGAGCTTTTCAAAATAAAAAACTGATTGTTTTTATACAGGATTTTTCATACTTTTTCAATTTCTCAAGAAAGATAGCACAGCTTTTGAAAAAATTATTCGCATTCTGATATACGGCCTGAAGTTTTTATAGTAAAAACGTCAGTTCGATCGGATCATTTTCTTGAGGGATCATAATGTGACTGAGCAATTCTGAGCAAAAACATATCGATTTTCTTTTTCAAAATTCTATCTTCGGTTTGAATTTGAGCTCGATCGAACATGGTGTCCACGGTTTTCAAAAGGGTTAAAAAAGAGAGGGTGAGTACCCTTAATATACGTTAGAGTTAACTCTTTTAGTTGTTTTATCAATACACATTGTCAGATGTATAAGAACAAATGTAATATTTTCCGTTTTATCTTACCCGAATAACTGGATGATTACTGCGCCATGAGTAGTCCGTTTTTAAACCTTGGATTAATGTGAGATAACGACGTTTAGTTTTACTTACGTAAAAAATAAACAATAAATAAATTATTTTATATAAGCACAATATTCTATCACCTACGGTTTTAGCTCAGACATATACTGCTCTCGTTGGTAAGGTCGAACATTTTGAATAAATTCAATTTTGTAATTTTCTAGAATAAAATATATCGTTTTATACTTTTATTTATTTTTTTCAGCAAAATTAAACTTTTTTAAATTTTACCGTTGTATTCACTAGTTTTGCCGTTTTCGCTTTTAATCTGATTAATATTAAATGGATCTAAATTTTCACAATTTTTTACCAACTCTTTATTATATTTGATCCGTAACATTTGTGTGCTGTAATCATGTTCATTTTCAACAGTTGGTACGTATATGGGATTTTTACCATTTGCTTTTGAGTCAACACAATTAATTAGATATGGTGATAAATAATAATGACCGTCAATTGGTTCGGTCACAGTAGTCACTGCGATAAATCTATGCATTAATTCATCGTTTTTCACTCTAGGAACCTATAATAGTACAAATAATTTTAATCTATTTAAGAAGTTACCAATAAAACATATAGCCTGTATACTGTGAGTGATATATGATGAGAACCAAATGAGTCTTTTTTCTGTTGTAAAACTATTTGTTTCATATCAGCATACTTTGTGGATGTAATATTCAAAACAATTTCTAAACTACGCAATGATGGATTATTATTTAAAGCTAAATATACGTAGACAACCAAAACTTGTACACTAAAATAGTTTATTCGAAGTCTGAAATCTTACGTAATATTTCATGTTCTGCATTCTCGTCATTGGTGGCTAAATTCTGAATGAAAGTATTGTTTCTTGCTGGTACTACAAGATAATTAAGTTCATTGATCTTTCAAAAAGATTTTAATATGAATTTTACCCAAAAGTTTATGGTTTTTGTCACTTGATGGAGACGTAGATCTTTGATATTTATGACAACTAATGCTTCCCGGTACGGTTAATGATACTTTAACAAGTATAAGAAAGAAATATATTTCACTTCAGCTTTTAATATTTATATCTTACAAAATTTTGTCTGATTTGTACACTCTTGTTCATCATGTGATCCGTTAAATTTTTCACAATTGTTTGACGTTGTCGCATGTTTTAATGTATAATGATCACACGGATTTGTAGGCGGGCATGGTCTAGATGAATCATATTGTTTCTGTTTTAAATCTGAGATATCTATTTTAAATAAGTTGGACAAAAAAAATCACTCTTAAGACTTTATAATGATGACCAAACCTGTTTCGTTGGAAGAATCATTAGATATGTTCGATTTTTCAGATAGTCTTCCACGCATTTCTGTAGACATATTAGATTTTTCAGATAGTCTTCCACGCATTTCTGTAGACATATTAGATTTTTTAGATAGTCTTTCAAGCATTTCTGTAGACATATTAGATCGTTGAGATTCTCTTTGACATGTTGCTGATAAAGTGGTAGTTAACGTTTGGTCACATTTATGAACAGGTACTAGAAAAAAAGAATAAAAATTCAAGTGATAATAGTCATTCTTCTTGCACAGCTGGTTTAACAAAATACACAACACGAGGAAGATTTCTTTTAACATATTAACGAGTATTAGATAGTCTGAAACGTTATTTACTTGCCTGATGAAGTCTTCGATAAACAGTTACGTTCGACGTCTAATCGTTGTTCATCATCATCAATTTGTGATCTTTTATCAGCGTTCATTTTGATTATTTGGAATATCCCGCCAGATTGTTAGTACTAAAACGGAATTCCAGAGTGAATATGTGAGAAGAATTCACGGGATATATGGAAATTTCAAATGTTATATACGCGAAATAGTGTCTGTTCCAGTACACGAACGATACGTAGCAATACTTCGTGTATCTAGAACAAAATAAAATATATAATTATTTTTAATGAAAAAAACATAGGTTAGAAACCAGACTAAAGCAAATAGAATTTTTAAATATATTTATGGTTATATTTTGATTCGTGGAAAATTTCATCATTTTCTTTCTTCATGACATACATGAGATTATTACAACTATTAATACTACCAACGTTAGCTGACAAACAATACTCTTATATAACTTCTGTGTTTACAAAAAACCAAAAAAAGAAAACTGGAGTGTTATGTTCTTGACAATGTAACTTCACTAGATCATATGTAGCATAAAACTGTTGAATTGGTCATTAAGATTACGACTTGCAAAATATCCTGACTTCGTTTTTTTTCTTGTTGCTTCGTGTTTCTTCCAGTTTCTCGAAGCAAGGATAATATGATTACTCCGTGTTTATGAGAATATTGTATTATAATTTCACATTCGTTTACGTCGTGAAAATTTATTCAAATAATATTTTATATCTTACACGTGAATCATACAAAAGAAAAGAATTACTTTCAGGTTTATTTATCAAGTATTTTTATTCTTTCAACTCTTTTCTTCTACAAAATAACACTAAATATATTAGAAGTAAAGCAAGGTGTAGCCTATGTTGCTGCTTGGTGATTTCGAAATGGAATTTTGTATATCAACTTTTTCACAGATCGAAAAACTAATTATGCAATTTTATTCAGGTGTTCTAATTAATATTGTAGAAAATACAAGTACAAACAACTCGGAAAATAATTTTTGTCGGTTAATCGATCGAGAAATGGATTTATTTTTCTTAAATGAGTATGCACTATCGATTATCACGTATACATTTTTATTATAAACAAGTTTATTTAAACGAAGCAATAACGCGAGCAAGATCCAAAGAACGAGAAGTAATAAAAAAACAAGAAAGTTATTCTAATACATGAATACGTAAGTAGATAAAAATCTAGTGATTAGTCACATAATTTTATTCTTAAACATTTATGAAACAAATTTGCTGAATTCTGCTTATTCAAGAACTAGTGGAGATGAATGTGTTTCAGTAAAATGCTCAAAAGTAAAGATTCTAATGCTAACTTTGTTTTTCAACTCATTATATAAGGTATCTTTTGTGTTTGAATATTAAGAACATTATACAAAAATAATCTTCATGAACTCTCTGTGAAAAACACAGACACAAGAAGGGAGTCAGTTTCAGTCGTTCTCCCATGAGTTAGCTTAAAATTAACTACTCAAAATAAGACGCCTTTAATCTGCTTTTAAAACTGGAAAAGTTATTGATAGATCTTCATTCATCGAGTAGATCATTCCAAAGCTTTTGCACTGCCGGTAAGAAACATGTTTCGAGAATTAAATTTTAGAACAGATAATTTAGTTTCATTGACCACGCAAACTGTAGATTTAACCATAACTCTACGTTGTGTTAAGATTCAAATGATTTGTGAAAATAGACTAAATCTCTTCAAAAAAAAATATTTTACAAGATCAAAGTGTTACTTAAAGCCTGTTTGTTCCTGATCTTGCTTACTGATCAGAGACCGAATCGGGTCTTAGGTGGATGACTCGAATCCGACTCGACCAGAATCAATCTTTTCTATATGGGCCCGAACCCGCACAGTAGGCATTTTCTGCTAGAGCAGGCGGACTTTAGCTTTATGAGTGAACTAAAATTTCACGAACCATTGTTTTATAGGTTTTTCATGATCCTCTTTCTAATGGCATGAGAGCTGGGTTTTGAAAAAGTTTTCTAAGGAGTTTTCCAGAGATCCGGCCTTTGGAAAACCCTTCAGAAAACTTTCTCAATATTTAAAAAAGATGCCACTGGAAAGAGCATTGCCCAAACCTATCAGAAATATGTTTCGAGTCGTTCAGGTTACTTTATCTTGAAATTCAAATTTTCAG